GTGACATACCGATGCGGGGGTCGGATTAATCGTCCAGAACGGGTGATACAAATGTCCGAAGTTTTTTTCACACTCTTGGAAGCAACTTGAGAAGAGTCCATGGTTACAAAAGCGGGTTTTCAGTCTATCTATGGAGATCGTTTGCTTAGTCCCTTTTATTTCGAGATCAAACGTTTTATCTCGTCTTTTTTCTAGCACCTTAAATGGTCCATCATAAGGAGTTTGAAGTGGTTTTCTAACTCCGTCGTGTCGAACAAACACATATGTGGACTTGTGAAGGCGTGGATGAATGAAACATGTTCGCTGGCCGTGGCTAGAAGTCGTGGTCGGGCGGACACTGGCAAAGTGAGATTTTAAATCCTCCACAAACTGTTTGGGGGACGCATCCGGAGGTGTCGGATTGAAAAATTCTCCTGGGAGACGGATAGTCTTTCCATACACCAGTTCAGAAGTGGTTGCTCCTATGTCCTCTTTGAGAGCAGCGTTGGAAGGGCAGCCACCCAGTCACTGGTATCGTGCGCTTTTAAGGCAGCTTTCAAAGGACGGTGGAATTCCTCGATCAGTCCATTCGCCTGTGGGTGGTACGGAGACGTCCTGATCCTCTTGATTCCCAATAATTGGGAAAGGGCTCGAAATAAGCCGCTTTCAAACTGTCGCCCTTGGTCGGTAGTAATAACAGTCGGACAACCAAATCGAGTAATCCAGTGGTCATAGAAAGCCTGTGCTACTGTGCGTGCTGTTATGTCTGGTATGGGTACTGCTTCGGGCCATCTAGTAAATCTATCTATCATAGTTAGACAGTAATAATTATTTTGAGAAGGAGGAGGTAGGGGACCAACAAGGGTCAAGGTGGACGTGATCAAACCTCTGTGATTGGTCTGGAAACTTCATTAACGGGGTTCTAGTATGCCTGCTTACTTTTGCTTTCTGGCACGGAATGCACTGCCGTGCCCATTTCGCGCAATCTTTGCGGATGGAAGACCAAACAAACGTGAACATACTAACTTTGTTGATGCGCGAATGCCGGGGTGAGACAAATTGTGCAAGGTGGCAAAAACTTTCTCACAGAATGCCGGAGGAATGTAAGGACGGGCGTTGCCTGTTGACACATTGCAATATATCGGTAAGCTACAATTCGGTAAGGTAACTTTTTTGAGATGTAGAACTTTTGACTCTTTAAGCAATGTTTGTAATTCTGGGTCGATTTCTTGCATTTTAGCGATTTCCTCATAGTCGATAGGGTTAGGCATGCTTATTGCTTCTATACGCGAAAGTACGTCAGCAGCGATATTCTCCGAACCTTTTATATGGTGAATTTCAGTGGTGAATTGTGAGATAAAGTCTAACTGCCTAGCCTGACGAGGTGAACACTTATCCAAACGCTGTCGGAATGCATACGTGAGCGGTTTGTGATCGGTGATTAAAGAAAAGTTCCGTGCTTCCAACATATGCTTAAAATGCCTAATAGCAGCATAAGCTGCCAATAGCTCTCGATCATACGCACTATAGTTCCTTTCCGCCTGCGAAAGCTTTCGTGAGAAAAATGCGAGAGGCTGTAAATTTCTATCAACTATTTGTGATAGCGTTCCACCGATCGCGAAGTCTGACGCATCAACCTGTAAAACCAACTGGGCATCTTTCTTCGGGTGTGCCAAAAGAACAGCATTAGCGATTAGCTGTTTGCACTTTTGAAATTCACTCCGCGCTTCCTCAGACAAATTCAGGATTGTCTTATCATTTTTCTTAGCCCCTTTTAAATACGAAGTTAAATGTATTTGATTCTGGGCTACGTTGGGTAAAAATCGACGGTAAAAATTTAAAAATCCTAAAAATCTCTGCAAATCTTTTACCGTTTTAGGAAGTGGGTAGTTAAGTATCGGTTCCACTTTGTTCGTCAGAGGCTTGGTACCATCTTTATTGATTATATGGCCTAAAAAAGATATTTCCGGAACGCCGAAAACACATTTTCGAAGCGTTAATTGTCAATCCATATGAAGTTAATCTTTCAAAAACAGTACGTAGGTGAGATTTATGCTCATCTCCGTATCACTAAATATCAAAATATCATCTATCTAAGTAGACGTAGGCGAATTTTAGATCTCCAAGAATTTCGTTCATAAACCTTTGAAAGGTTTGAGCTGCTCCGCACAGTCCGAAATTTAAAAAACGGAAATTCGAAAAGACCAAATGGGGTGATGCAAACTGCAGTTTTCGGTATATGATCTGGATGGACTGGTATATGATGATATATGCCCGAACGATATCAATTTTTGAAAAAATTGTCTTTCCGCTAAGCGTATTATTAAAGTCTTGTAAATGCGGGATAGGGTATCGGGTATCGTCGGGTTCGGTGCACGCGTTTAGTTTTCGGTAGTCTCCTACTGGCCGTATGTCGCCCGAACTTTTAGAAACTACATGAAGAGGTGATGACCATGCTGATTTTGATGGTCTACAAATACCTTGATCTATCATAAATTGAAATTCTTTTTTTACTGCTTCGTATAACTTAGGGCTTAACCTACGCGGTTTACTGTGCACAGGAGGACCGTTTGTTTCGATGTAATGAACCGTACTATGCTTTACTCTACCCGAATCGGATTTTAACTTCAGTACTTCCGGAAAGTCTTTCAAGATTCTGTGATATGGTGAATCACCAGATATTAACTTTACCGAAAAATAATTTTTAGAATCGGAAAGAGAACCAATACGAGTTAATTTCGTAGTATTATCGATAAGCCTACCTCGTTTTAAATCGATTAAAAGATCAAAATGCCTTAAAAAGTCGGCTCCTATTATAGGCACTGGTACATCGGCGATTAAAAACTTCCAAGAAAAGTTTCGTCTAAGTCCTAAATTCACAGTTAACAATTTTGTTCCATACGTAGAAATTCTGGAATTATTCGCGGCAAATAATAATTGAAGCGAATCAGGATGCATTTTCTTAAACTTAGAAGTCGGTGTTGTCACACATGAAACATCCGAGCCCGAATCAATCAAAAAGTTTAAATTTAATCTGTTATCGTAAACATGTAAACGACATGAATGCGCGACTGCCGATGAATTTCGATCGACAGCCGCTACTACTAGTTTTCCTGGGCCGTAGTGTTCTGAGAAAAGGAACAAGGTGCTCGACATTTTCGTGCATTATTACCGAATCGCGAATGAAAATAACAATAATTGTTCACACGCTCTCGGGAATGCCCACGCGAAAAACTACGTGCTTTGTTATGTTGATCCCGGGGGAAATTATTCCTCGTTTTTCCGCGGGAGAGTCGCTCGACTTGTTTACTTAGGGCAGAGATTTCACTCCTTAAGGCCTTAAGCTCCTCGAGGGGGGGCACCAGAATCGTTAGGGTTTCTGGGGGAACTCGCCGAAGCTGCCTGGACCGCGAACACGCTGTTGTTCGTTGGCGTGCGCACTTCAGCTATCTTATCAGCCATTTTTGCTAAATTGTCTAAGGATTCCGAAACTTATTGATAAAATGGCATGCACCTCGGAAGGTAACCTTTGCAGCCATAATGATTTTAAAAATTCGTCAGTTATACAGTTTCCACCTAATTCTCTCATTTTTCTCAATAAGTGAGATGGTTTGTCGTCCCCTAAATGCAATTCAGAAATAAGTCTGCGTATTTGCTCGCTTTCCGAATCTGAGAATTCTACTATTAACCTAGCTTTAAGGGCATCATATTTAGCCGTCGCTGGGGGATTAAATAAAATATCTGATACTGCGGAAAGAGTTTCAGGGTCTATCGAAGAAAAACCACGTGGTTGTATTTTGTACTATCGCTACTAATCTTCGCTAAAGCAAAGTTACTTTCAACTTGAATAAACCAAAGTTTAACATTTTTTTTCCATAAAGGGGGAATTTTAACTGCCACGTGTGAGATTTGTGGCTCCTGAACCGCCATATTCGATTCCTCGTTGGTTTGGCCTTCCGATCCTGGCATGGTTGCCAATTATAAATATATATCGTAAATCGTAAACTTAATGTTTTGCACTATACCTTATCAAAACAGTATCAATTTAGAATAAAATAATGAAGACATTCAATATCTCAATAAAAGTGTGAGCACAAATTACCCAAACCCAAAAATCAATTTTAAACAATCAATAATTAAATTAAAACTATAATTTTAGAGCAAAACATATCACAAAAACATAATTAAGACCAATCACAGATAATTAAAAAAAATTGACCACATACCTGTAAATCCTCCTTAAGTGTGATAAACCACGTGTAATCCGTACGATAAAATGAGGAGGAAATAAATAGGGTGGAGCCTTTATCAGTCATAAGGAAGAGCATTGGCATCAAAATAAGGCATATTTTTAGTTTTTTAACAAAGATTGAGACAGATAGTCATTAGGGATCGAAACAGAAGGAGCGAGGGACAGGGTCACCAATGATGTACGTGTGAGTAACACGTGCATACGAAAATATCCCTAACATTAACTAGGAAAGCCGAAATCTTAGTTAAGATAGACATGTTACAATTAATAATCAAATTTAATAAGGAAAAGTAACAGGTCATTATAACGGCTTAAGAAATTCAGAGCACAGTACAGATGCGAGTACACAAGTTCACATATCTCGGCGAAGCAGAGACGCACACCTTTGTTGAAGTAGTTCCACTTGACTGCCGGGGAAAAATCTTCTCTCTCCGTCAGCCTGTAGGTTTGCCAAACGGGTTTACTGTTTCGCCAATTGGCGCTTTTCTGTACAGTTTTTAAGTCCGTATCGCCTGTTTGGCGCTGCCGCTGCAGGTGCATTTTGTCTTTCGAATGTTTTTCTTTTTTCAATAGCAATATTCGAAATATGATTTGGTTTAGAATCGGCAGATTTTTAGACTACAAAGAGTCACTCATAACCATTAAAAATTAAACATTCTAATTAAGAATTCCACTTTCAGTCGGATGGATGACCTCCTTACTAAAATCGACCAGCATAATGCCAAATTGGCGAAAAACGTCGACAGTCTGGAGTAATTCAAGTAGCAGGGGTAGACGGCAGTCATAGAAGCGGCGGATCATACTGCGCATGCTCGCCGTTTCGTGACCTGCTGGCCGTAGCGTAGCCAATGATCGCTTGAGTACAAATGTAAACCCATCAGCGGTATATTTTTAAAAATTTGATCAGCGAAGTGTACTGTGTAAAAGTAGCAGTCTTGAAAAAAGAAATTAATTCAATCGAAAACTTTAAGAAATTTCATTTTTGAATCATAGTTTCGACCCTTCGTGAAATTAAAATGGCATATGCCAGTACCGTTGTGAACGATGATATAGTTAACAAAGATAGTGAAGGAATTAGTAAAAGTCGGAATGACGATACTAGAATTTCGCAAAGTGCCTTTACAGTTGTGAACGATGATAAAGTTAGCAAAAATAGTGATAGTGAAGGAACTAGTAAAAGTCGGAATGATGATACTAGAATTTCGCAAAATGTCTTTACAGTTGTGAACGATGATAAAATTAGCAAAAATAGTGATAGTGAAGGAACTAGTAAAAGTCGGAATGATGATTCTAGAATTTCGCAAAATGTTCTTTTAGATTTGCCCGCCGAAGACCGATTGAAGACTTATTTTCAAAACGCTCTCTCTTACACTCTCCAAAAATATTTGGATTCTGTTAAGTATGCATATTTTTATCAAAGTATTCTAATTATAATATTGTAATTGCACTATTAGTATATTATGCAAAATGAAAAGCTTAATGAATCACTTGTTAAATGTGATCTAAAAATATATTAATGGCTTTTTGGCATAGTTTTCATTTCATCAAGAATCCGGGTAAATTAGAATTAAGAGAATGTATTTGAAAGCATGTTATATGTAGGTTAATCATATTTCCTTGAGAAAAAAATTAATAGATTCAGGTAGTACAAAATGGACATGGTTTATCATGACTTATAGACCATACTATTAGCCTCACAACTTGTTTTTTATAATCTGTCAGCTTACCGAAATTTTTTCTTTGACTATACGCTTTTCATAACAGGAATAGGTACATTACTTCCTGGAAGGTAAAGGAATGATCTCTACAGTATGACAAAATTCTTGAATGTATCTTATGCTACTTTTGGAAAAAATCTGTGTTGCAATACAAGAACGTTCTTGTTCTATGTATTCATTAATGTAGATTTTTTTTAGGTTCCATAAATTGAATGCACTTGTTTCTTCTGTTATAGTGGATGTGATGAGTTTATCAAGCTGTTTTGTACCCCCTTCTGATCAGTTTTCCTTAATGGAACCCACTTGAATTTTTCAGAATTTGCCAAAATTTTCTTCCATTCATTGATATATTCTGAGTAGGTTTCATAGAAATCAAATACAGAAGTAGGAAAAAAAACTGATATGGTAAAACTTTGTGCTGAAGTATTAAGGCTAAAAGAAGATGAAAAACAGAAATATACCATATTGACAAAACTGACTAAATCCGTTTTAACTTGCCTGCATGGACTTGTTGAAAATTCCTTTAATGATATGGGTGATATTATGATCGAATGTAAAACATGATTGAATGCTGATAGCCTAGATGTTACACTAAATGTGAATTATTATTTACTATTACATAAAAATACGTGCAAAGCTTTTGGGTCAGAAGAACCCGCTGAAGGCCCTATTGATAAAGATTTTAGGGATAATTTTTTAATAACTGGATAGCTTATCAAAATTCTTTACATGCCATGAATCAATATCTTCATTCTTGCAGTTTGTCATCCCTAACACCTGTTAATATCTATACTTCAAATTCTAATGTTATGCTTAAGTAGAAGTTCTCAACCAGTTTTTCATCATGCATCACTTTTATCCACGTGAGAAGATCATTCCTGCTCTTCTTTCCCAGACTTGAAAAATACATATACATTTAAAGGCTGATTACATTTCCCCTCCTGAAACTGTGAAATCCTCCCCCCTTCCAAGAGAGGAATGTTCAGTATAATCAGCAAGACATTTTGATATAGACAACAGCTTTTCTCTTAATTCCTTAACTCAGGTTTCTATCTCTCCAGGAGGAAAGGAAAGCTGACTTATGTGAAAATTTACTGTCTACATCAAAATGTCTTGCTGATCATATGGATGATTCAGTTGATAAGTGAAGAAAAATGTAAATGCAACATTCCCTCTTTCCTCCTGGGGAAAAAAAAAAAAAACCTAAATTTAGTCCAACAGGTAGACAACTGTATGAAATGATGTTGCAAAACATAAATAAATTTTAAAAAATTATATTTTTTGCTTTTCTAATAAAATTGTTTTAAAATGTGTGTGTATGTATATATTTCTCATTAATATTCTAATTATTTGAAATTGGCAGGTTTTTACTCCATAGTAGTTTTCAGAATTTTTGAAATGGAGTTATAATCACCCCTTGTTTGTTATTTTTAGTTTTTGCTGTCTTTGAAAAAACAATCTTGCTATAAGTGTAAAAAAGTTATTTTTAAAAAATTTATATTGGTTAGAAAAAGAGAAGTTTCTTAGAAACTAGAAAGGCTTCATATTGATAATTATGATTATTACCTATTTAAAATAATCTATTTATTACATTTTTTATATTCATAAATTTCTACATTTAAAACTTTTAGATATGTTTTCCTTTGCATGCATTTTATATTTAAATCATTTTATATATAGGATGTTGGGATAATGCATATAAATTTTTTCATTCTGTTTTTCAATTTATATGTTTGAAACACTTATTTTAACCCATTTATGCCCAGTGGCAAAAATATGGGACGCTTGGAAATTACTGTGTAGAAAATCTTATAGTGCATATAGCCTTTACAAAAGCAATTTTTCATACACCTAAGGGTTGTTCTTACTGTTAGTAAAATATGGAACCACTAGATGGATATTAAAATTATTTTAGAAAGAGTTATAGAAAACATTCCAGCATCACCATAACACGGGTAGCCACAGGAAGTACGTACTTTTTGCTAAGTTTTTATTCATAAAACTAAAAAAAATTTAAAATGATTTGCTTAAAATAGATCATGAAAGACTTCCGCAAAGTTATTTTGCAAAAATAATAATATCATTTATGTCTAATTGCAATTAATCTTTGGCGTCCTGTTTATGGTACACTGGACATTTGTGAGTGCATTAAGCCTAAAAGATTTTACCGTCTTATCAATAACCTAAACGCATTTTTATTTGAAATATACATGTTTTATGTGATAATACTTCAAATCTGCTCTGTTATTACTATTACTGTATACAAAATATTTAAATTCTATAATACTTGCAGTGGCATAGCTAGGGTGGAACAAGAGGGGACATCTGTTCCTGGGCACAGCATCCAGGCGGTGCCAAATAGATGCTACGAAATTTTTTAATGAAATGTTTTCCATTCTTGGCACATAGAAAGGGGCGCAAATTCTTCAGCTGTCCCCGAACGCTGGAATCCTAGCTATGCCACTGAATATTTGCTAAAATATATTTGTGTGTACAGAAAATATATTCATAAAATTATCAAATAAATCAATTTTTAATTTTTTCTTGAAATGTAATTTTTTTTTTCAGATTATGCATATTATTGAAAAGGAAATATAATTTATATTATTTTGTGTATACAAAAAAGAAAATTTTAACTGTTGTTTATTGAAAAAATTCGATCAATTATTTCAGATACTTAACCGTAAATGAAGCAAATATCCATTTACGATAGCAATAGACAATTACTTTACTTCCATAAAGTTTGTTAAGTTGTCAAATTCTGGATTTGCAGTTGTAAGTACGTGGAAACAGTGTGGTTGAAACTTAAAAATCTGAGAAAAAAAGAAAGAGGTACTATCGATAACAGGAAAGACATGCCATCTGGTGTAATAATTGTACACTGGAAAGACAACAGTGTTGTTAAAACAGTTTCAAACTGTACTGGAATAAATCCATTAGGTTCAATCAAACGCTGGTTGGCTAGAAACAGAAGATCGCAGTGCCTCAGCCTCGTATAATTATGACATACATGGAGTTTATGGGAGGTACCGATCGAATAGATGATAACACTTCAAATTATCGCGTTGGATTCCGTGGAAAGAAATGGTGGTTTCCTCTTGCCATATTTTTTATTGATGTTATTTAATACCATGATTGCCATGTTTTTAATTGATGTTAAAGTTTCAAATACAGGTGTATTCAGTTCAAAATGCATGGCTCCTCCATCGTATGTTTTCAAGCAACAGGACACAATGGATCAACTATAATTTTGCAGCGGCATTTCACAGAACAATCTCAAACTATTTGGAGTGCTTACCAAATCTGGTAGAATAATCACTTCAACAAAGATGAGTAAGCATGTGACCAATGAAATTTAATTTGACCAAATTGGCCACATAATATTTGTAAGTAGAATACAACTGTGATGTACTTAGTGTCCAGGTAAGACCACAAAAATATGTGAAAAATATAACGTTAATTTGCATGATAAATGGCTTTCAACAATTTCGTAAAAAATAATTGTTTTTACATTTCCATTGATTATAATATGTAAGATCATAAAATTTACCATCGCTTTGTATAATTTAATCGAATTTATTTATATTTATTGTATTTGAGGATTTGATGTTTTTTGAAGAACCTTGAGAGTTGTGCATAGTGGTAGGTGTAGAACCGAAGTTATCTGCTACAGAAGTATAAACTGCACCAAGTTAAAAAATTAAATATAAGATTTAATCAGTGTTTTTTTATCCTTAGGTTTTAACAGCATAGGTGAACATACGTGTCAGACTATGACACATTAATGAACTTGTACGATAGATAACGTACGAAATGTACTAGATTGGTACAATGTTATATTATCCTGCTTAACAGTATTTTCATATAGGCAGGTATTTGGCGATGTAGAACGATAATCCGGAATGCTTATGTAAATTCTTATCTCTCAACATCAACTCCTCTGCCCCAGAATATGTAACGCCAATAGCAGTGATGAGCGATATTCTAAAACTGATGGTTCAGTTTTAAAAACTGAGGCTCCCCTCCCTTTTTTTTTTATCATTGCATCTCCAAATGGTTTCATGATTAACATACAGTTTCATGTTGTGGCCATTTTCGCATACATGTTTGTCAGGTAAAATACCACTTTCTTGAAAATATTATGTACTATTTATGTCTTTATTTGGTAATTGAAAGATTGTTAACCCTCTATACACATAAAAACAAGGAATATTTAAAAAAAAATTAATGCAAGTTTGTAAACCTTAGCAGAAATCAAACACATTGCTATTATAAGAACACATGGCAAGAGAAAAATGTAACATGATGTTAATATTAAATTCATGTGGCAAGATTTTAGCAAGATATTTTGGTCGATTAGCCATTCTCTCTCGGGTGGCTATGATAAAGAAGTACCAAAATAAAAGAAATTGCTTTTATATATCTTTTTAATTATGCCAATTCTACATTTCTGTATGTTATATTTTCAATGTCTGATAATCTCTTATTTCAGATTTTCTGTGTTTAAAAGAGGATATCCAGAACTATATGAAAAAAGTCGTGGCAATTTAAGAGAATTTTATAAACAATTTAAATCTCAACTTAAGTCCAGCGTTCAGATTGATCTAGATAACTTATGTCAGCAGACTAATACTGGTACATTGTTATGTGAATTGGATAAGCTGATAAAAGAAAAGAAAACAAATATTAACGGTCATTCTTGGTAAGTTGATTGAGCTTTGATTTTTTTTCTTTCTTTGTTCCTCCCCTTTCTGCCTTCCTCCCCCTTCATGTAAAAATAAGTTTTTTGTAAATGAAAATTGCATCACTAGATTTTTATTTTCTGTTTCAGTTATAAAAGCCATTTCTTTTTATTATCTCTCAAAATGGTGTGAATTTTTTATACACTGCATTTTTAAAATGTGTTAAAAATATATTTCAGGGTACCCCTTGGCAAAAATTGGCGATTTTTTTTTTTTTTTCACCATTCCTATTTACGTCCAATGCCCTTCCCAGTAAAATGGCATCAAAAACATAATTAAAACAAAAAATGTATAATCTCAATAAACTGCATTTTAAATCAAACAATGAAATAATATGAAAAAGGAAATATTGGCTTTTTTTAGTAATTTCTGTGTCTTCAATCTGTGGCACATGAAGGTGTATAAATATGCCTTGCTCAGCCGATACGTTTACTACACCAGGCATATCTATATGCCCTTCCAAAATACTATCATTACCTACTATAAACTACTACCAAAAATGCACCTACTTCAAACAGTAAATGAAAACGGAAGACATACAATAAAAGTCAAACATCCCCCACTCCAATTCCTGCACCCTCTTCTCTGAAATAGTCTCCTCCTTCGCACTCTGTCAAGGTCATTGTGGTGTTGTATTCCAAATAATTTAGTAAATGACTGCGTGTTTATTGCTCGTGTTTGTTTTTGAGTAAAATGTATTTTTTTTATTATGTCTCTTCCAATTACTGTTTGTAGAAGGTGCTTTTTTAACAAATATGTCTGACAGTGTACTGCCCAGACGGTATAGTGGTTAAGGGAGCCTCACTGCAATACCGAAGGGCCCGGGTTCGAATCCTGGAAAGGCATGGATGTAAAAATTGTTTGCCCCTTCATAGGAAGCAATGGTGGCCCACCTATTAGATGCCTCCATAATTAACACATTGACTGGCAATCACGTGCCAGCGCGAGACGTTTTGTTATCAGCAAGGAGCCAATCGCGCGCCAGCGCGTGATGTGGGATGATATCTCAGCAGCCAGTCATGCGCTGGTGCGGAAAAATCCTATACTTGTTATTCATTCTCCAGTTGATTTGGCATTGCATGCAGGGCATTTCTTCTGGTATTGGCATGGAGTGAAAATTAGAAGCTACATATAAATAATCGTGGTTTCAAAATTATTGTTTTATTTTTTATTGAAAAAATAATCTTTTAGTATGAATTATTGAGATGATAGTGCGGGGACTTGGCACCCGAAAAAAAGAAAAGTTCAATATAAAAAGGCTCTTACAGATGATGAAATAGCAAATTTATTACCTGAGCTATCGGATGAGTACCCGAGCGATTTTAGTTATGACAGTGACGAAGAATTCGTTCCTCTGAGTGGTAACCATGATATTTTGGATTCTGATGATGATGAAGAATGAATCGTGCAAGAGGCTGCATGTCAACAGGATGATTCAACTATGGCAGAAAACGTTATTTGGGAAAACGATTCAACATCAATGAAAAAATTTCCTTTCATAAAATCCGAGTGTTTTCTCCAACCTGTTTCAAATAACAATCCTATAGATTTCTTTCATCATTTTTTCACCGATGATCATATCTTGGAAGAAATAGTTGCTGAAACTAATGATATAGCTCATAAAGTACTCTTTCGTAATGAAAGGGAAAAAAGAAACATTCTCGCATCAATGCTTAGAAGAGCACCACAAAAGAGGAACTCTTGGTATTTGGGAGATTGATCATACATATGGGAACTATACGAATCAACCGTATACAAGATTACTGGAAAACAGATTCACTGTTTGGTTTACGTATATTTTCAGAAAATATGAGCAAGAATTGGTTTTTGTTGTTACTGAGGGCAATGCACTTCACAAAAATCCCAGATCAGAATTCAGAGCTTCCAAAAGATCAACTGTATAAAGTAAGAGATATGGTGAATTTGTTCAGCGTGCGAGTATCTGAAATATATTCCCCAGGGCGTGAGATTAGTTTAGATGAATCGATGGTATTGTGGAGTGGATGGCTTATACAGTCAAAAGTCGTTAATTCGAACACCCATAATCTGGAATGATCTATAATCCGGACCTCAAAGCTAAAAACTTTCTGCGCATGCGCCGCGTTGGCACATGCGCACAGGCGTTTTACGCGTACGCGTGAGACCTTGACTAATGCGCATATGCGTGTGCGCAATTGCAGAATACGTTTTCGCCTGCGCGTTTAATGTACAACGGACGGTGTAAGCTAAAATTATCTAATTATCTATTTCAGTTAATGCTAATGATTGCGTTGTTCCTTAATCTTCAAATTGGATCCCGCTTATTATTTTTTGCAGACTGTAAGAGCAATTTTTTTAAAAGTAAACTTGAACTTTCGATTATGTCAAATAGAATTTCCGATGCTGGAACTTCCAAAGGATCTACAAAACGAAAGTATGTTTCGATGTCCAACAAACAAAAAGTGGAATTACTGCAAAAAATGGATAAAGACATGAAAAATGTGACAGAGAGGTTAGTGAAAACGAAAAAATTTCGATTGACAAGTTAGTCGGTATTCTCGGCACAGCAATTAAACGGGACTTGAACAGCGGAACTTTTGTAACTGAACAAGAAATTATGTCTTTTTTATAGAATTAAAGAGAAAGTATTATCACATAAAATGAAGCAACTTAAACAACTTACATTGAGAGAAATGTTTAATAAAGTAAACAAATAAATATTAAGCTTTTTTTTTTTTTTTTGTAAATTTTGGTACCCTTTAGATCATAATTGTTCTTTATTTCATAAATTACGGTTTCATATTTTTGATTTTAGAATTTCTGCATGCCATCTTACGAGATTTAAACTGATGATCTATAATCCGGAATCGCCGAAGTCCCGACGAGTCCGGATTAACGACTTTTGACTGTATTCAGATAGTATATACCAAATAAACATCACAAATATGGTATCAAGTCGTACATGATCACAACGCCTGATGGTATGGTTCTGAAATTTATGTTATATACAGGCATGTTGGATGATTCTGACGGGAAAGAACATGCAAAAAAAGTCGTTATGAATTTACTCGAGGGAATGCTGGATGTAGGACATAGTATATTTATGGACAATTATTATAACAGCTATGAACTGTCAAAATGTCTTGCTGATAGCAAAACTCATTGCACTGAGACAATCAGAAAGAACAGAAAGACATTTCCGAAAGAGGTAAACAGAAAAAAAAAACTGAAGAAAGGGCAAACTGTAGCAAAGCATGCTAATGGTGTGATGATTGCAAAGTGGCAGGATAAGAGACGTCACTTACATTTCCAATGAATATAAAAATGATATGGTCGAAATAACAAACAAAAGAGGTGAAATCAAATCGAAACCTCTACCTGTAATTGATTATAATAAATTTATGGCCAGTATTGATAAGCAATATCAGATGCTTGCTTATTATCCTTGTAAAAGAAAAACAATTAGGTGTCCCGCGAAAATATTTGTGCATATTTTGCAAATAATGATGAACAATTCCCACTTTATCTATAATAAGTATTCCAATGAAAATACATCACTGTATGACTACCATTTATTTGTGCTACGAAGTTTACTGAAACAGCCATCTGTTCTTCGTGCTCCTGTGTGTGATCAGTCTGAATCTGAACATGTGCTGAGTACATGGGAAGAAAAAAAAAGGAAAAATTCTAAGAAAGCAATGCATTCCCAAAGCTGCTATTCCCAATGAAAATGTACAAGATACAATAAGTTTGCAAATTTTGAAAGATGAAATATATCTCCAAATTTTGTGAAGGATCTCCCATGGTACTGCTTAGATTGTTTAAAAAAAGATAATACACAAATAACATTCTAGATGTATCTGTATTCAAATAATGCCTTTTTGTAATTTTCTTGTTATATATTCCTTTGTAATATGTATAATTGTCTGTAATACATATTGATATAAAAATAATGCATGCTGTCACTTATTTTCTTATTTAAATTTATTTTTTACATTCCACGTGCCAGCGCGTAATGTGGCATTTGGGGAAAATTTTGACATGTAGTGCCAATCACACACAGGTTTGTAATTAAAAAATTCTTTAATAAAAGCCTTAAACAATACTTAGGTATCACATAATTATCTTTTATTAATATTTTAAATCATATTTCTTATTATAAGTATGTTGGCATCTGGATACAATTTACTTCCATATGGATGGCAATAACTATCAATCTAACTCTAGTGTGACTGGCAGTCAATGTGTTAAAGAGACCACCGACCTGGCCTTAGGAGTGACTGATGCTGCATAGACAAGTGCCCACCATTAGAAAAAAAAAAATGTCTGACAGTGTTGATAGTGAAATAAATGATTACTTTCCACCATCTTCAAGATCAGACACTTCAGAATATGATATTACATCAGATGAAGAGGATTGCGACAATTCTCTGAAAGAGGCTCAACATTGGGTACAACTTGATATGAAAAACTTAACCTATGGCATTCAACAAATTCAGAAGAAATGTGTGTTTTTTTAGGTATACTTTTACAAGTTATAACACTAAAACCTGATATTACACTTTACTGGTCTAAAAATAAATTTATCAAAACTGATTTTTTTGTGATCTTTTTTATAATACAAATATAATTTTTATTATACTTTTAACATTAAATTTTGCATTTTCATTTTTTCTTTCATTATTGTGTGAAAGTAAACAGCTTTTAGACAGCAAAACTTGCACTTATTTTCCCTCAAATACAGCACATTAACTACATGCGCCCATGTAAAAAATGGTGGCACTGGGGAGTGAATCTTGTATGTTTTCCATGGCAGTTAACAGCATCCAAAAACTTTCTAAAATTATCTGAACTAGAATCTGTATACTGCCGTCACCACATAAATTCACAAAAATAAGAATAAAAAATATCCTCTGTAGTGTCGGACAAACCTATTCAAAGCCATCTAAATGATCTCTACATTCGACCATACGCATTTCCTTTCGTACAAACAGGCCACTAATAATGACTAATAAGTAAACCTTCATTTACACACCAGTCAATTAATGCTTTTTTCCCCCTTTCGTTCCAAATCGTACAGAAACTTCAGATTGATTAATCTTACTGCATACAGCCATTTTAGGTGTAAAGCACAAAATAAGCAATGTACTTCCTAACCAACATCCAACACATAAATAAGCCCTTACAAATATTTTCCCATCAGTCAAATTCACTGCAATCATGCAACCAATCATGTCATAATAGGGTTTCCATACTTTTACCATAAATGAAACAATAACTTGGCGACAATCTAAGGGACACCCTAAAATATAGACTAACCCAAAATGTAATTATAGTATGTAATTTTGATATCACATTGTTAAGCTTGATGAATATTATCAATTAATTGTATTAGCTTCAAAACTAAAATGCTATGTCATATTTGCATGTGTATTTTTATCCATATTTTTTACTAATTTTATTGCTTAAAGACTGAAAAAGGGAAATACACAATTTGTGATAGAATAAATTTTAACTCAGCGATTTCAACATTTTGTTCCTTCAGCTCTGAATGCACTGCCTGGTTTTTTAATTTTCAAAATAAAAAAATTGCATGGAGCCAAATTGTATGGTAAGTAGAAAAATGCTGTGTTATTCTTTCAAGCCAAAAGTTCTTTCACGGTTAGGGATATATGATTTGGTATACTGTCATGATGAAAGAGCCATATGTTTCCAGTTTCACAACAAATCTGCACAACTCTTTCTCAGTTGGTCCAGTATTTATAGATAAAAGTTTGAGTAATAAACATTGGATAAATGAATTCATAAACTGGATGACAAATTATTTCTCACTGTAGCTAAGAGTTCCTAGTATTCCAACACACAATTGTTTTCCTAATTATCAAGCAACTTCCTCAAGACCAGTTTTCCATAATTTTTTTCTTATTTACAGATCTTCCATGATGATTTAAAAAACATCTTTGGGGTAGTTTATAATTTAGGTACCTCTTGGATTATTGCCAAGTTGTTGTTTCATTTATGTTAACCTGACTATTTTATGTCAAATTTTTTTGAAACCCTATTATGATGTGAATGTTTGTAATACATGACTGCAGTGAATTGAATTGTTGGGGAAATATTTCTCAGGCCTTATTTCTGCGTTGGATGTTAGTTGGGAAGTACGTTGGTTATTTTGTGTTGTACACCGTAAAATGGCAATAAGATTAACCTCAAGTTTCTGTACGATTTGGAATGGGAAAGAGAGCATTGATTGACTAGTGTGTAAATGAAGATTTAAATAGCTTTGTTCACCTCTCAGTAAATTACACACTGACATTTAAGGATTTGGAAACCGGAGCTCGTATCTGCACCATGGAAGGTGTATGGTGTGTAATAAAATGGGACTTTCAAAAGAAATGCCACCAACAATTTGGCAGTACGGAGGATATTTTTGATTTTTACTTTTGTGAATTTATATGGCAATGACAGTTTCTAGTTGAGATAATTTTATAAATTCTAATTTATATAATTTTGAACAGTTTTTGAATGCTTTTAAGGAATTCTATGTGATACACATGTGAAGTAAATTTAGAAATATCTAAATAAGGAAAGTTGATATTTCCTTTTTGTACTGTGCAGATTAGATAACATGTACGAGTATTTCCATTTTTATGTTATTTCCTTGTTTTATTTTGATTTAGAATGCAGTTTACTGAGATTATAACTTTTTAATGTTTTAGTTATGTTTTATTGCATTGCGTTTTGGATGCTATTTTACTAGGGAGCTAAACAGGAATGGCACCAAAAAATCACCAATTTTCATTAAGGAGTACCCTGAATTATATTTTTCCCCATCTAATTTTGACAGTCGTAGCTGCTTCATGATTAATCACATATTCAGCCTAGCAAAAACACCTGCACTTGATGGATGCTTTGCAGGCTGTTTGGCTTCAGTTTTCTTCTATCCATTGAATCCATGCTTTTTCCTCTATCCATTGAAACATTCTGTCGACTGAAGACTTGGCCTATCCATAAGCTGTTCTGAATAACTGCAATATTTTGGAACCAGATTTTCTGAGTTTCATCCAAAACTTTATCACGTAAGTCTCCTTGAGATTGTTACATGTATTTGCTTATGACAAAGCATAAAAGCTACGATGAACTTTTCTAATACAGTTGTTACTGTTTAGAAGACTGTTACAAAGGTATGTGCTCAACTAAAAATAGTATTACTGTATGTCTGACATTGTAGTGTATTGTGGACTGCCCGGGGTTGTAGACTGAATAGGATACCAAATATTAAAAAGTTAATTCAAGTAAACCAATTTTCTGACATTAATACCATATCAAAGAGTGCCGGAAACACCTTCTACCTAGGTGTAAAAATAACTTTGTCTAGCACTGGAGTTTTCCCTGTACATGTCTCAGCTATCACTTCCCTTTGATTTCTGTGATGTGATGAAAAAATAGTTCTTAGTATTTTTAAGGGAGTTCTTATATAGCATATATCATTTCTGAAAAAAAATTTTAAAAGAACTTAAGCAGTTTAAAAAGTGTAAATGAATAGATATGCATAGTACAATATACGTTTCAAAGAAGTCAGTTATAGTGATTGTGTTCCAGTTTCTTTGACTTCTATGTCACATACTGTTATGAGCTATGTAGTTTTAGCCATATTGAAGTATTGTTATATAATTATATATTATATCAGTAAATATTATTATATAATTTTAAAATATTAAGAACTGGACATATTGGAAAAGTTAACATTAATTTAAATTATCTATGTTTTACATTTGCTGAATCTAAATGATAAAGTTCTATTGTATAATTAAATTATATTCTTTTGAAGTATGTTCTCTTTTTATTTATATTACAATGCCCAGTCACACATGGGAATTACAGTATAAAACTACTAAAAGTATCTTTTTCTACTTAACAGATTATTGAAACTTCTAAATAGTAAAGATTATCAGTATGCTCATACACCGTTAAAATGTTATGTTGTAAAAATAGCTAAGCATATAGAATATACATGAGAATAACTTTAAAAAATAATGTAGCAAGATCTCATTATATAAAAATCCTCCTGTTATTAATTTCCTTTCTGGAAAAGCAATTGACTACAGTATTTGAATGTCAACAGCAAATGTTCCATCAGTATGTAAAAATATCAATTGTAGGATGGTTGCACTAACAGAAACTTAGCTTAATACAGTATAAATGTGCAAGATGAGCAAAGCTAGGATTGTCCAAGCACATCTGCCACAGAGAATAATGCTTGGCATGTTAAAATGGCAATTTAAGATGATCATCACATTCAGCTTAATGATATTGCTAAGGAACTCAACATAATACTGTTCATGAGTAGTTTGGGCCACTGAAACATACGTTCATGATGGCTACCTAAGCAACTTGCAAACAACCACAGTGCCACAAGAATAGTATTGTACCTTATGTACTTCATACAGTTAAACTAAAAAGACATTCCATTCTAAAAGATGAAATGTAGATGTATCATGATATCTGAAAACAAAGCAAGCATCTTTGTTATGAAAGTGCCCATTGTCATCCCTTTCCTAGGATTTTAAAACAGCTCCATCTGGGAAGAAAGTATGGTGATAGACTGGGACTACCAAGGCATGTTGCTAGTTGATTTCCTCATGAGGAGAGTGACACTGAATGCTGCGAATTGTGATATACTTGGCAGTTCTAGAAAATGACTGTGGCATCATAATACTTGACTATATGCAGCTACTATTATGCATAATTTGTTATAGATGCTTCCATAGGAAGGTACTGAATCATCCTCTCTATAGCCTGATCCTGACATCCAATGATTTCCATCTCTTTAAACCATTGAAACAATATGTGGATAGTGGGTAATTCACAATTAATATGGATGTTCAGCAAGCTGTACGACATATCTTCAAAGACTTGATGCTGATTTCCTTTTTTACCAGCATCGATACTTGGTGTGTCATTAAAACAAATATTAGTATGGTGACTATGATGAAAAGTAATGCTTACCGTCACTTTACTACTGTGTATATATATATTGGTATATCTGAATAGCTGCACGGCTGGTATAATGATTAATGATGCTGACTGACGTACTAATGGGCTTGGGTTCGAATCCCAGAGAAAGCACAGACGTTTGTAAGCATATAGTGTCTGTGGCAAGAGGGTACTTAAAATGCACAGTAAAGCAAAAATCCTCTCTAGAAGTTAGTAGTATGGAACAAAGAGTGGAAGACCCTAGGATCGCCCTTTGTGGTGTTCTCCCTCAAAATTGGGGTGCAGCTGGACTCTACCTGTACAATCAAAGATGAAATTCTGATGTCTCACCTACTTCTACCTGTACCTACCCATGGAATAAAATTTATCTCTCAGAAAACTTATCTTTTCAAATTTCCTTTATGTATATTTGATATTAAGACTGATATAATTTATGTTTGATAAGCATGTGTTATTAATTCACAGGAGGCCATCTGGAAATCCAGAAGAAGATATTAAGGATCATGTTTATCAAGAAAAGCAAAACTATGAAGAACAGCTGAAGAGTTATTTGCAAATATTAAAGACAGAAAAAGAAGAGCTAGAAACAGAATTATCTAAAAATCATGAAGCTATTTTACAACTACAGAAGGAACACCATGAACTCCATGATGCATTGGGTGTAGTAAGTATTAATTATAATTTTTAAAAAAAAATTTATTACATATATTTTAAGGATTTGTTACCAATGATCTGTTCATCATTGCTCTCTCACTCCTACAAGACTGGGTTAAGAGTGAGTCAAGTTTCATGTAAATAACAAAAAGGGATATCAGAGTATAAAAAAATGAGAATTTAACAAAGAAAAGAGAGTTAAAAAATTATTCAATTGTGAATAAACTGATTTTTGTTATTACCTGCCTTTAAAAATATTTTACGGTACAGTAAATCCTTAAATTTGCCTTACATGCACATTTTCAAAGTTGTAAGAATATCATTTGCATATTGACTACTGACAAGTTTTGCTGTAGTCTGGAGTCTATGGGGATTTTTATGTTCTGTGTACATGCAATCCAGCTTACAAAAATTTGCAGTTATAGTGTTAAAATCCTTTTATTGGAAAATAATAAAATGTAGCAGAGTGCATCTATATTGTTATAGATTTTATTTATCGGTAATCTTGAAAGGCATATTTTTTAATGTATTTTATACTTTATTTTAAACAGCGTGTGTAAAAATACATTTTTGTTTGACATTCTTTTAGGTAAAATGGTAATCCTGTTGGATTTTCATTTTATGAGGCAGAATCCTTAACAGATTAATTCTTATAAGTAAATTTTTTTTAAGATTTTTCAAACCAATGAGCATTAACTTTGTTGGAACAATAATTAACATTATGTGTAGTATAGCTTTTGGAGCATATCTGTGTTTGAGTCCATCTTCTCCATAAAGCATACCAATTGGAGATTGATAACTTATTTTCTTATAGTGTGCTTTTTATTATATTCTTACGATCCACCATATCTTCACATGACGTGTACCAGTATGATTTCTCTGTGATGAAATAAATTTGTCTTGTGGCTCAACTTTGGCTTCCTTTTATAATTATCTAAAGTAGCTATTTCAAACCTGTGGTGTGCATCCTCTGGGTATAAAAAATTAATAATTGCTCAAAATAATATTATTATAATAAATGCTGATGAAAAGCAAAATATTCAGAAAGTTAAAATTTGGTATAGAATAAAAGAAGCACCTTTGAGGATTCCCCATGTGATGCTTAGTGACCAAAATGTGTATGAAAGCAAATACATTTAGTTGTAACTAGTCCTATTCACACCTGTCATATTACTGGATTTCTTATGCACTGCATGTTGCCACCCTTTCCCTACTGTCACTTATAGTGTCATGTAAAATTATTGGCATCCAAATATATTTTCAGTATTGAGTAAATCATCAAGTTTGTTATATAATACTCTTTCTTGATAACTGTAACATTCATACCAGATTGACTAAACAGTGTTGTTTTAATTTATTCTTTTAGAGTTACATGTTTATTGCTATTTATTTGTTTTTTTTAAAAAAAAAAGGCTATGTGTTATTACAAAGTAGATCTTTCCTACTCAATTGAAACCTCCATAACTCTATTTGGCATTTACACTAAGTACTTTTTTCAAGACCAACCATTTTCATTAAACTTGAAATTTCAGCTTAACTATTCAATATCTTTTCAAAAATTAATAAACATAATTTAGAATTCGAGAATAGTTCCATACCTATTTTCAAAGTATCTAACAAATTTGATTTTGTGATCAGAAAGTTAGATTTTGGGAAATCAGGTATTGAAAAAGGTAGGACTATAGTAACTGAAATACTTTACAACTTTTATCTGAATATTAGTTTCAATTTATGAATGAGATCAAAGAGAACACACATAATGGGAAAAAAGGAGTTTGAGAGTCAATCAAACATTACTTTCTCAAACGTACTGGGAGAAACAACAGGATTCCAGATCCTTTCAATGAAGATTGATTCAAAGCAGCCTGAAAATTTTCATTTTATGACAAAAAATGATTACATCTTTCTGACCATTCATATTTGTTCAAATTCTCTAAACAAATCAAATAATTGCCTTTTCGTGATGATATTGCACTCTTGGTCTCTAAAAGCAGTGCCTAACTTGCAAGTAATTTTATTCCAATTTCCAATAATTTTCTTTTTGCAATGTAATTTGCAGGTTTTAAACATTTGATGCGATTTAACATAGAGGAGTGCTTGTGTAATGTACACTTTGAAGCGACATGTGCTTTTGGCATTTCATACTCAAGAAAAGTTATTCCAATATTTTTATAGTGTTGTACATGTATAAATATGCAGTGTAGTAATGAAGTAATGAAAATAAGTAATAAATTTTAAAAAAAATCTGAAAACTGAGATTATTGAGAAATCTGAGACTTTAACAGTTGCAAAGCACTCTTTTTAAGTTTAATATGGTTTTATCAGTAGAGATTAATAATAAAGATGGCCCAGGTGGTACAGTGAAACATTTTATAAAGTACTAAATAAATTTATGTTTGGTCTAGCAATCTCCAAACTTTTTTGATCTCGTATCCTAAGATGAAAATAATTATAAGCTCTTTTTTATTATAAATTTTAAATACAACTTTCTTTTTCTAATAGTTTTGTTTTCATTTTAATTAATTCTAATTTTAAACTCGCTCTTTAAATATTTAGTTTTTAATTAATTTAAATAGTTTAATAATCTTTTAATATGTTTACACATTTTTTTTTAAATTTTGGCTTTAAATTTCATTCCTTGCAGCAATGGTGCAAAGAATTTTTAATTAAATTTGTATTTAAATTTAATTAATTTATTTAAATTAAAATAAATTTTTCTTATGAAATAATAGATGTATAATATATATACTATACATTAGTTAGCTCCTACACACACACATATATGTGTGTGTAGGAGTGAGAGTGTGTAATATATAATATAATGTATAAAATTTTAATATATGAATATGTGTGTAGTCAAAAATCGAATTGTGGATTTTTAACAATATAAATACTGTTGCGTGCCTACGGGTTCGTTATGAATTGAAAGTCTGATGAAAAATGAATAAGATTTATTATTGTCACAAATAAATAAAATGAAATGCTTAAATTTCCTCAGATATTTGTACAATAGTGCAATATCTCACAGTAATTATCTTTTAACTACTCAAACAACTTTTAACTACTCAACAGAACTTAATTCAAAACAGCTAGAAAAAGCTAATCCACAAATTTGCTACAGTCAACAAGAGCAGTTTTCTAAACAAACTCTTAAAACAAGAACTAACTACTAACCAAATTGAGAGGTTTTTCTCCTTTTTATAAGAATTTTCACGTGCATCTAGCAATTTATCGAAATCAAAAAGAGATACTTATTTATTAAATTTTAAATGCACGTGCTCTTGTATTTTTAATTTTCTGGCTTAGCTTTTTCATAATATTCATCATGCATTGCACTGCACGGGGAATAAAACAATTTTATTTATAATTCTACATTATTAACATTAACTATTTAAATACCAAATCCGTAACAATACATTAAAAATAAATTACAAATTTACACATTTTGAATTGCAATTTAATGTGAGCTATATGATTGTATTTTTTTAACAATGCTGGAAAGTTCTAGTTTAATGTAATTTGAAGCTATGGTTCTAATTTATAGCTTTATTTAATTTTAATTGTTGTTATTGTAGAAAATGCTACTTCATAGGTTTGTAAAAACCAAGTGGCGAGAGCTCATTCGTTGCTGTGCTTACTAAATCTGGATATTCAATCTTCAATTTCATCTACCAATTATGAAATTTTTTTCCTTTAAATACGTATTGTAACGTTGTTCTTTCTGTCCTGTCAGTTAACTGTTCTTGAGCTGCAGTCGAATGATGATGCATTTACATTTTCAGTAAATTTATTCATGATCCATTGAAACTCTGTTTTAACACTAGAAAGATCTGTAAATTGGTTATGAAATCCTGTCTCCATATTTTTTTTTAAATGCGTAGATATAAGGCTTCTAATTTGTTCCACATTAACTTCATTTTCAGAAACAAAATCACATTAACATTTCTAAAGATCACTTTTCTAAATTCGCCCTTAAGATCTTGATTTTGATTTTAAATGCAGTTACTTTCACAGCAATTGTTAAAACACTGCATATCCCATGAAGAGACAAATTGAGCTTGTTTACTTCTTCAAAAATATCAGCTAAGAAACATACTATCTACAGCACCTTATTGTTGAAAAACCAAGCAATTTTGAACTTTGTCCAAAAGAAAAATGTGTAATTCATTTTTCAATTCAACTCTTTTTATTAGCTTTCCCATGAGATAACCAACAAACTTTTGTGTGATACAGGAGATGTTTCTGGCTGGTACTTTATTTCATTGTATATTTTTAAATATGTTCTCTTATTCAAGGACAAAGTTGCTAACTCTACCGATTTCCGATCATACTCCTGCTTACGCGAATTTCAACTTATTTCTCTTATTCTTAAAATTTTCATGATTTTTATGTAGTGTGGGGTAATACGTTATTTGCATCCAAAAAAAGTGGTTTGGGGTGTCTGAAAGCACTTGTTTTTTGTCTAGATGCACATAAAAAAACCGAAGTTACTTCTTCACTGAATTATGGTACAATTTCTGCTTTGTGTATGAGAATTGGAAAGTGTCATGGTCCTATTCTCCATTGCGAAATCAAGCGCCGCTGCAGATCATCCGGCATATGTTAGCCAATGAACACAAAGCAAGATCGGGGTTGTTTATTTCGTTCATCTTGCCAGTAAGCAGTATTTGTCATTGCGATTTTTTGATTTTTGCATGGTGGAAGGTTTTTAAACATGTGTATGCACAAGGACAACAGGAGTTGTATTGAAAAAAATTTTAATTTTTCTCTGGAAGAAAAGGACCGAAAATTTATTAATGCAGAACTCCTGTTCTCTGCATTTTACTGGAGCACCCACCACTGAATGCATCAGATCATGTTGCAGATTGTTTAGAAAAATGTTTCTTGGCAGTAAAACCACCAAGAAATACTCAACTGGAAGGACAAAAATGGCTGCAATTGTAGAAACAGGTTCAAAAAATTGGTATGAAAAACAAATTTTCAGGTGTTGATTGCATTAAAACAGTTCCA